GTACACCAAGCCAACCTCGCGGAGAAAGTGAACAACATGTCCCCGATACTTGTACTGCTGGCCCCGCACAAGCATAATATTCACGTGAACATGAACGCGGGCTATTAATGACTCCTCAGTAGGCGTAAGCTGAGGCAATTGCGTCGGAAGAGAGCCAAAATCCAACTGGTTGTCCACAGAGAAGAAATACGGCTCTTCGGGGCCGCTTTTGTCATCCTTTCGACAGCAACGTGCACAAATGCCATCAGAATCGATCTTCATCTGGAACCAACGCTCTTGACATCGACCGCAAAATTGCATTTGGTCATTGTCCAGCTTTGTCCAGAACTCACGGACTTGTCCAGAACTCACGGAGGATTTCTTTATCACGACAAGTCAAGGCGCAAGCATCCAGGTCACCATTCCACACCGGATCTTGTGCGTGAAATACCGCCGATTCTTCAGGTGGAATCATCACTGGACTCCGGTACCGTCGTGGCGGCCCCGACGATCGAGTTTGCCTTTGAGATTTTTTTGGCCGCCCTCCTGTACCAGGGGCAGGACCACGGCGAGCACGGCGACGAGGCCCTGACTTTGTGGAAGGCTGCCGCGGCGATGGCGAAGAGGGCTTTCATCTACGGAATCATCATCGTCTCTGTTGTCTTCGTCCCCTGGATCGGAATCGCACTCTGCCCCTAATTGCTCAAGGTACCTCCGTGGTCGAACAGGCGAAAGAAGAAGGTTGAAAAAGTCCTCAGCGTCAACATCAGACTCGGAGAACTGTCCTCCGTCCTGCCATTCCTTGCCTATCTCGCCCCCCTCTGGAAACCCACTCCGCTGTGGTTGATCCTGACTTGCAACTAAATTCCGTGGTCAGCCTGAACGAACTACCGGGGCCACAGCACATGGATACCTTCTCTAGGCCCACCAAGAGCTTCAAAAACGCCAAGTTGAGATATTGAGGGAGTCAGTGACACAGTCTCCCCTGCACGGCGCCGTGAGCGATGGTCGCGCTGGATAGCGGCCAGCTTGACCCTCGCCCCGGCTGTGGAAGGGTTATCTTGCGAGTCCTTCCCTCCTCTGCGGTATCTAGTTGCTAAATAAGCGTGATCCACGCTGGTTGTGCTGTTTCGGACAGTACCTGGATCAGAGAGTGAGACGATCGGATGGGTCATTCGCTGCATAGGAGGTGAGGGAGCCAGTGTCCGCAAGAGCCCTGAGCTTTGTTGGGTTGGCGGCAATGGTGTCCCCAGCTCTACACGCGGCTGGCTGATCGAGGCTTTAAATAACGTCCTCGCTGTATGACCTTGCCGTATACTCTCCGACGATGTAGGCTGGGTTCCGGATCTGTCATTTGGAGGCGATAGATCGGCATCTTCTTCTGTTCGCTTCAAAGCAGGACTCTCACTTGAGGAAGGGCCGACAGCGAGGCTCTTTAACGTTTGGATCGCGTCCCTGGATCTGGAGCGCTTCGCTTAGTTGGCGCTGAATGTCTTGCGGCGTGGGGAGAGAGAGCTGACATGAGAGTTGCACTGGTTGCGACAGTCCAGGCAGTTCTTGGTGTTACGGGCAGATTTCCGTTTACTCACGAAGTCGTCCGTCGGCTTCTTCTCGCCGCAGCGGGCACAGAGAGTAGACCCAGAACTCATTATGTTATGAAAGACGTAAAGAGGAGTTGCGAGTTCCCCTGCGAAGCAAAACAGTAAACAATTGCAGGGGTCGCCAGATAAGGTTAGGCTCCACTTTTTGGGCAGCGTTGTCCAGTTGCTCCTCGTTTTGCTTTGGACCATACAAAATCTGGACCAATCAAATCTGTGAAAACTTTTGTGCACCCCTGTCAGCACCAATCCCTCACTTGAGAAACTTATCCGATTAATGTTAAGTCAGCCTACGGCTGAATAAAGTGTATTGATCCCCCATTATGGACATGATCTGGTCACGTGTGTTACTGATTACTGATTGATTGAGCAGGAGCTTACTGATACTGATACCATATCAGTAGCAATGAGTAATCAGTACTGCTTGATAACTGATTGCTTGTTGAGAAGCCTGCCTGGTGGGATGCCTCTGCACCCGATAAGCATCAGAGTCTGACCCTCAAGTTCCCTTCTAGCCGTCCTCCGGAGTTAGCTCTCCCACGAACTGTCACAGCACCATCACGACTTGTCTAAGACACTCACGTGAGCACAGACCATTAGCGCACCATAAAGCTGTAGTCTAGATAGCTTCCTCTTCCCTCCTCCTTAAGGCACAACTATGTTACTACTAGCAACTTAGACTCGCCCGAGATAACAGCATTATGCTCTCTTAGCATAGTTAATAGGCTCTGATAACTTCAGAAAATCAAGCAGCTCGTTAATAGCAGCTGTGGTTGTTGAGTTATTTGTTGTTAAAGTTGGGTGAATAAAGCGGTGTAAATCCGGCAGATCCCCGGACCCGGCGCTTCACTGTAAAATCCGTTCAGCATTGTCAACACCGGCAAATTGGTATTTCGTATGGATCCTGTCCAACGTAAAGAATGTTATCTCAACGCAGCTAACTCTCTACTGGGGTAGACTGACTCTCCTGGCTGTCATGCAACGGAACTCGGTACTAACTCATCCTGGCTCTCACCGGAAGGCCCGATTTGCTCCCAGGTTGGCCTTGTTTGTTGGCAACGAATCGTTGCTTAGTCCAACTATCTCAAGTCATCCATGCATTGTTGCCTTCTTATTAACATCATGCCATTGCTGCCGTCTAGTCAAGCACTGTAATACGCATTACTCAGCTACTACTGCATGAAATCTAGATAGTGATGTTGTACTTTTGCATACTGTAGCGTTGTACTTTTGTACGTACGTTGAGGTGCTGCATGACAGTAATTCACGAGTGGATCCACTGCCTGGATTGAGTGGAGTGGCATTCAAAGGGGGTAGCACGAGCAGTCGTAATTTCGACACCCCTTCATGGCTGATTTCTCACTTAAACCTCATAAAGGCCTGGCAATGCAGGTGGTGATTGTTCATCATCGACAGCTGCCAAACTCATGCGTGTAGCGACTTGTAGTTGCGGCCTTCGGCGTTTCTCGGTGTCAGATATGGTCTATTTTGTTGCAATATTCACAACTTCATATCACGTGTAATATCATGTGTAGACCCGCTATAGGGTGAGACACCATGGATAGATATCGTGACTACCAACGCTCCCCCCTTTTCCTACCTTGAAAAGAGATATACTTGAATTGACTTTTATTGATACCCCTATTGCAGTACTGCATTATCCCTTTGAGGATCCAACATATGTAGAGTGGGTCGTGGCACGAATACTCGTCTCAAGAAACGGCAACTCTCATCCTCGATGGCCAACAATTGACCAATCAGAACTTGGAGTTGACAACTGATTTTCCCTTTCGGGTAGTTTTAACAAAAATGGAAAAAGCCACCTGCCCCTGAAACCCCGCACGGCCTATATCCCGGCTCCATAATGAGCTGCGGCAATGGACTAATCGCACACCGAGAAACGTCGCTGGCCGCAGCTACAAGTCTCGCCACGCATGAGCTTGGTAGCCGTCGATGATGAGCAGTCACCACCTGTGTCAGATTTCACGATGCCCCACTTGAATTACTACCGGGGGTTAGGTCAGTTATTGAGGTCAAAAGTTGATTATTGCAAAGTCTCCCCGCCCGACAAGAACACACAGAAGATACAAGCATCAACGAATACAATAATCAACTTTTGACCTCATGGGGGGGGGGGGGGGGGGGGGTGACACGAGTAAGGCCTTGCTTGGATAACAGGGATATACTGGAGTTACAGGGGGATGAGGACGACATGGCCGCTCCCTATTGGCTGGTCGATGTTTCCAGGGATAGTCTGGACGTTTAACTTAAACATTGCATGATAGATTCCGACCTCGATGCTCTTGACGTGTGTTCCTACTTTCCCAACCGCTGCAGGGCCGCCGAACCCGAACCCGTCCCAGCCTCTGATCTCTGATCTCAACGCATTAACGGACATGACTTAGCGCATTAACGCATCAAGGCATTACATTAATAACGTCCAGCGGACATAAGGCGTGCGCGTAGCGAGGTCTAAGGTAATAACTGTACCTTAATTGACCGAAGCTATGAAAGATAGAATGATAGATAGTTACTAGATGATGGGAAATTAGACGGAGGCAAAGGCGGATGCAATTAATGCCGCGTTTACCTATAGAGGTGGTTAGACGTATAAGAATTATAAATACAAAGAATGCTAGCCTCTAGAGTTAGAAATTGTTACGGATTTTAAGCATAGAGTCGCTCTAGGCCTTTCGTGCGATTGCAATAAATTACTTTATATAAAATCATGTTGTCGTCTGCCTTACTCACTGGCCTGTTGGCCGCCTCTGCCCTTGCGACTCCTGCTGCAGAAGACAAGGATGATTCAGATCTGGAAAGCCAGAAAATTTACGACTCGCATAAACTGCTGGTTGCCATGGAAAAAAATCATACGGGCAATTACTCACATGTTAACGTCGACGTGTATACGCATGTTATCTTAGCGTCGGATACGGAGTGGAATATTACAGTAGGTTCAATATATTGTTATGCGATGAAGCTTGGGACTCAACAGTAGCTAACGCTATAGCAGTTAGAAGACATTAATCAGCAATTAGAGATCTTAAACACGAACTTTCAACCTGCCGATATCTCCTTTGCGTTACAGGGTGCAAAATGGGTCATAGAACCGGACTGGGTACGAGGTGATAACGATGATATGCAAAAAGCACTCCACGAAGGAGGCAGCAACGCCCTCAACATATATTTTATGAACTATGATAGTGGCGGCCTTGAACGTCTAGCATCCGCGTCATTCCCTTCTGAACTGGAAAGCACGGAGGGGCCTCTGCTAGACGGCCTCCTGATTACAAAGAATACTCCTTTAAGTAACAAAGGATTATTAACGCATGAGACTGGACACTGGTTCGGGCTGCTGCACCCATTCCAGGATATTTTCAACGACGACGGCGATTATATTGACGATACCCCTATTAGCCCGAAGAGTTGCTATGACAAACTTGACGCCGCCACGTGCCATACTAATAACTATATGGGCTACGGCGGAGATCCGAATATGTTTACCGCTGGTCAGATAACTCGCATGCATAGCTTTTGGAACGTGTTCCGCTCGAGTGGCACGGCTGTGCCCGAGTTGGTACTGGCTCCTATAGAATCTATCAGCAAGGGGCGTACCAGGCTGCCGTTTTATCCTGAACCAGGGAACCGCAGGGAGCTCTATCGGCGGTGCCATCCGAAGCATAACGACGGCGCCCAAGAAACGCGTGAAAACTACTGCGGGACAAACGCCTTCTGCCGCTGGGAACTTTTCAAGTTAGCAGGAGAGAAGTACTCAAGCATAGATGCTTGTTTGAACGCACGGACAGTCGAGCTGCTTCCGTGGATCATGCCCAAGACTAGCTATGCACATTACTGTCATTCAAAGACCTCTATGTCTGAGCTGCCCTGTGGCACAGAAACGTTCTGCGGGGTGTTTGATAACAATACGGCCACAGATGGTGTATTCGTCGATTCTAGATCCAACTTGGTTGAATATAACAGCAGCTCTGAATGTCTCGAGGCTCGCGAACCTGCACCTCAGGACAGCCGTGTTCAGTCTTGAGAGTGTGTTTGACAGGTTGTATGGTGGGGACTCAGTGAAATTCGAGGACGGGATACTAACAGCACGAAAGATGTCAAAGCTAGAGCAGCCTGCGCAAAATGGAGATGCACGGAATAGAAGAAAATGCACATAACTACCTGTAAAGCGCTCTTGGGACTTTTTCTCATTTTTGAAACTATCCATTACCTATCAAAGGCGTGAGCTACTGCAGCTTGGAAGTGATCGAATTGTTAAGAGTCGTGTCAGATTGCATCGTGCGAGT